TAAGATATTGCAAATATGTTTAATCTTCTGTCAGTGCCGTTTCTGAACTAAACTTTAACGGAAACTACCTCTTGGAAGAAAGTTATGTTACTCACCGGAACTAGTTTGATGCCTGCCGATGTTTTGGAGTACTTGACTGGCTCTGCGTTGTCAAGGCGCCGACTCTCCCTATTGGTCAGCGGTTTAAATGTGTGGCTTCACTTGCCGGCATGGAGCTGATCGATTTTTTTTGTGTTCACTTGCTCGGCCGTCTAATAGGCAAAACAATCGATAAAGATGGCAAGTTCAAACACACAGCGGAAAGCTCAAGTGGGGAAACTTTTAAGGGCAAATTAAGGAGCTGTATGTTTCCAAGACTAAGTTACGGTAACCACCTGCTCAACCTGTTTGCCTATGTAGGTTTTAACCGTTGTGTATAGGCCGCCTACCGTTAGCGCACATTTTGAATTGCTCCTACGGGTTCCTATTAATCTGTCTGCCAATTGCACGCGAACGCCACGCCACGGCACGGTACCCGACAGCCTAATATATAGAGCAACTGTCTAAATGCCCCTTTACGCAGCGAAAAATAATTGTGCCTGCATTCATTAATAAACATTTGTTTGATGCAGGTCAAACTATGAAAACCGAAATATCCGTTTAAGTTCTTCATCGAGCACGGTGCTGGTTGTCTTGCTTCCTCCTCCGCTTTTTTCCGCCGTGGAAACGTCTTCTTTCGCACCGCATAAGTTATGTGTGGCCTTGTCCTGATTTTTATTCACGTAATGGCCCAAGACATTCTAGGTTGCAGGAATATCTTAACGTATGTCGAAAGAGTTGGCATTAGAATACTATGACTCAAATGTAAGTCGTTCTCATTTTGAGTTGAATAATGAAGGTATGGCTAGTCTCTCATATATGAGTTGCAAGATGCGAAATTAAGTCTAGTCTCTGAGCCATCAGTTTGTATTCATGTAGGTGTGTCTGCGGATTTTTGTCAGTATTCGCCAAAGTAGATGCAGACCACATCGTTGCAACATACTAAATGGACAAATACGAAGGTTTCAGTAGGGGGGTAGTCTGTCCTTACGCTGAACCCCACGGCGGTCAATATGGCCACCTGGGGGCAATGGGCTAGGCCTAATCAAAGGGTCGTAACAGTCGAGAGGCTACTTCCGGGACTGTTTTCATGCGGAAAATGGCTCTCCACATATCGCCTTGATTTCAGTTGGTTGTCATCTGTTCACTCGACGCTTGCTTTGTTCGATAAACGAACTTTTATATTTCTAAGGTAAGAAGAGGTCATACAGGTACTGTTGGTCAACTCCTCGGTGTGCTGCAATGCATTTGAACCCTTTGGAAGAGAGAACGGACGTAGATACACTTGTCACACAGGGCGTGATGTCCGCAAAAGTGCAGTATTTTCTTTGTGCTCTTGGCTTTTCTGTATACTGCGCCGTGTCGGCATCCTGTGCACTCACGTGCCTTTGGTCCCCTTGGCTACGTGATGACACCTAAAGCAAGTTAAATGCATGCAAGTTTACAATCACGATAAAATAAATCACACAGAAGTCAAGGTCACTGAGGCACCATACGCTGGACCTCGTCAATATCACCTGCCATACGTTTAAGGAATGACTGATACAGAAACAAATTATGTGTCCCAAGTATAGCAACACACGAAATTATAAAGTTCGAGCGCAAAAGGTTTCCGTGGGGTTAAGCTCCCGTACAGCTTTCGCAATATGCTCGACGAGTAGCTAACGAAAATACGCTCAATGGTTGCTAATGACACACGGTGATTGTGCCATATGACGTATGTGTGCGCCGTTAATGACGTGCACGTGGCGGAAGTAGCCGGCAGCTTTCATACCACACCAAACACTTAAACCTATCTCACTTTCTGCCCACGGGATGCCCCAGACGGTCCGCTAGTTTGTGCGGGGGGAAAAGAGGATGGTTTCGAACTTTTCTTTCCTAAATGCACGTGCATCTTCCGTTAATCATGGGACCGTAATTTTCCCACCGATGTGGGGACATAAGTACACTGAGTAAAAAAGTGACGCCCACGTAACCGGAAGCGGGTTGAAACGCTAAATACATTAAAATGTTTTAAGTTTTACGTAAAGGTGGTCCACTGTGAGGGAATCAGGAAGGCTAAAGCGATAGATATCGCCAAGCTATTGAAGCAAACGCAATTGCAGGAAAAGTGTGGATTGCAAGACAACGCGTGCCATATGGGGGTGCGATGAGGACGTCAGTAACCTTTAGCAGGAAACAAGT